GCCACGATGCGACCCCAGTTCACTCCATCACGGAAGAGTTCGTTCACTACCTCCTCAAAACTCTGATATGCCATGCCGGGGGTGATGTGGAGCTGGGAAGTGAGGTCGCTGAAAGCCCACTGGTACCTCAACTCAAACTCATCCCCCGCCTCTCTCAGCGCCTGCCTCACATCGGCTGCTTGAACGATTTCATGGACTTTGAGGCTGCTCCGGTGCACGGCAGCTCCGTTCACTACGTGGCTGGCGGGTGGATGCCAGGAGGGGGTCCCACTGAGGACGCCGTCCATCTCGGCCTCCTCCGCTGCAAAGTCAGTCCTGTTCTCATCCTCCTCCTCCAGCTGATTCCAGCTGTATCCCTTCTGCGAGAGCTTGTAGGAAACAAAGTCAATCACTAACTCCCGGTTACTGCTGGACATTTTCACACCTGGGACGCCCTCAATGAGTCCATGGTCCGAAGCACAAGCAGATCAGCACTTAACAGGTCCCGACTCCACTCTTCTTCCAAAAGATGGCTTCCAAAAGGTTGGCCACTCCACAATATTTATCCACCTGTTATTGCCAGGTTTCTTTAACAGTTTATTGCCAAATATTCACTTGTAAATAACGAAGACTTTGACTAGTGCTTCCAAACCTAAATCCTTCCCTTCTTCATGATTCAGAAAAGAAAAGATGCCATCATGCTTTTCTGAAACCAATCTGTGCTGCAATTCTTCTGATTATGATTTTTATTTGCAGCACAGTGTGTTCTTAAAAAAGGCTAGCATAGGTAACAAATGCCTTCTTATTCCCTTGTGCTGGATTATTTGGATTACATGGATAAAATAGGTCCTACTACTTTGGTATTTCAAAACAGTCCACAAAAATGTATTCTCTCTGCTAAAAAAAAAGGCTATGATTATCTTGAATGTTTACAGCTTGATTTTACAGCCAGGGAATCTGTGGAGGGTACTACTCATTAAGACACGTGTTACTGAGCATAAAGCAGATAAGAATTATTCACAGTAAATAAGAGAGGTTATGCTGGAAAATTCCCATTGTATAAGAATATTTTACCTGTATCTCTACAGTCAGGATATTCGATGCAAGACAGGAAGGTCAGCTATTCAGTTGTTACTGCATTTCATATTTGTTAAGTGTTAAAAGTAAATAAATTTCTTGTATGTTCAAACCCCCTAAATCTTCAAATATAAATCATGTGTAATAATTTTTACTGTGATAAGGTGCATATGTGCCTTTTTTTTTTTAATCTCTTCCATAGATTTAAACTATTTCTATTATAGGTTAGTAATACATAATGAAATTACTAGTGTGTTGCATTTTACTAAACTAGAGAAACAGAAAGGGAGTGAATCAGAACAGTTAGCTACTTTCCTACACTGAATCATACTGTTAAGGAATTTTCATTGGCTCTATGAACACATTATCCTCATGGATTTCCGACTCACCATGGCAACCACATTAAAAAAAAAAAAAATGTTTAATAAAAGAAATTTCACTTGAATTTTCTGTTAAAATATAACATACCTAAAGGCAAAGAAATAAAAATATGACAATATATATGTTTTCATGCACTGTTTACAATGAATATATAATTCATAACTTCATTATGGGTTATTTACAACTTTTTGGCAGAACTGATCAATTATAATTTCATTCACTGGGATGTTCTGACTTTTTTGAATTTTCCTGAACTGAAATTGAAAAAAAGTTCTTTACATCTAAATAAATCACTGTGTGAATACATTGGAAAATGTCAAAATGTTTACTTTCCACGTGTTTTAATGGTTATGTAGTTGATATCAGAAAATTTCACTGTAGAGCATTGAATGGAAATATTAAATATTGCATTGAATTTATATAAAATATATAAGACAAGTTAAATCTGAATAAGTATGTTTTGAGTGGGGTTTTTTTCCCCAAAAAAATGGAATCAAAGGTTACTGTTGCCAGAATCAATATTATTGTAATGCTCATATACCAAATAGTTACAAAAATCTTTCTCTTTTGTATGAAAAACATTTAATTTAGCAAAACTGTGCTTTATTCTGGGAAAAAAGCTTCATAAAAATATTTACAACTCTTCTATTTGCGGGTGGGTTATTAGTAACACAAAGCTGAGGATATGTAATAGGACATTGCCTCTTCAAGGAACTTAAAATAATGCAAGATTTTGATGGATTCTTTAAAAAAGTTTTACACATACCCATTGTATTTATAGTTGTTTGTTTTTTTTTTTTTTAATAAGGAATGAAGAGAATCATAGAATCATAGAATCAGTAAGGTTGGAAAAGACCTCTAAGATCATTGAGTCCAACCATCAACTCAACACCAACATGCCCACTAAACCATGTCCCTAAGCGCCTCATCTACACATCTTTGAAATACTTCCAGGGATGGTGACTCCACCACTTCCCTGGGCAGCCTGTTCCAAGGCCTGACCACTCTTTCAGCAAAGAAATTTTTCCTAATGTCCTGTCTAAACCTCCCTTGGCGCAACTTGAGGCCATTTCCTCTCGTCCTATCGCTAGTTACTTGGGAGAAGAGACCAATCCCCACCTCGCTACAAGCTTCTTTCAGGTAGTTGTAGAGAGTGATAAGGTCTCCCCTCAGCCTCCTCTTCTCCAGGCTAAACAACCCCAGTTCCGTCAGCTGCTCTTCTTGCTTTTGAAGTCTCTTGCTTTTGAATACTCCAAACAATTATAGGGACATACACGCAACTAAATTGAAAAGGTCCATGGAGTGGCTACTCAAAACCTTGTTTTGGGTGAAAGGAAATATGTCTTACATATAAAATGAAGAATTCAGTTTTAGTTCAATTGAAATCTTAACAGTCTAATCAATAAATTATTTGTCCAGGTTTAATTATTAGAGAGGAAAGAAAAAAAAGAAAGAAAATAATACATTTCATAAAAAGTTTAATAATAATAAAGTTTAAATTATTATAGACACACTTTCTTGTATCTACCGTTTCCTCTGGTGTTATGCTTACCCTCTCACTGCCCCTCAGGGTCCTCTGGTCCTGAATTTGCTATATAGTGTATGTTTCGGGTTTTTTGGTTTTTTTTGTTTGGTGAGTTGTTTACAGTCCTGGGGTCTCCAGTATAACCCTGTGCCCTTTGTATTATTGTCCCATACCAGTACTCCTCTACCCTGCATCCTGGGCCCCCACTTTCAAGGTTCTTTCTATCATACCAGACCTATTTGCATCTAAACTACATTTTTATGTTAACAGTGAATACTTCTGTCCGTGCAGATTACCAACTTGTTACTACTATCTATATAAAAACTGTGGTTATGCCACACAATTATATAAAGCTAAGTAAAGTGAAACAAATTAGATAATAACTACTTGGTCATTAGAAAATTGCTGTTACGGCTAAACAAGCTAAAACAAAGCTCCAGGCAAGCCAAGAAGAGTTCAGACACAGCCTGACGAGCCTCAGCCCAGTTGGTGCAAAGCCTCTGGCCTGTAACTAGCAATGGTGATGCTGTATCTACCAGGCTAAATGCTTCCAAGGCAAGGTGACACCATCTGGCTTGCTTCCTCTCTGCTTAGGGGCTAGCTTTTATTAGAAGTAGTTGGCTAGTTCCAAAACCACATAGCACTAGCACTTGATTCTGGGTCTCCTCATGGTGCCAAGTGGTACCCTACTGGCAGAACACATTGCCATTTTGTTTGAGTGTGATTTTCAGCTCAAATTATGCAAAAGAAAATGTGAGGGTTGTGTGGAAGACCACCAGAGTGATCATTTTTTTAGTTCAAAATCCAGTGTGCATGTTGCTGTATGCCATGGGGTGTGACGTGATCATGCAGAAGGAGAACTTAAAGAGCTACTTAGGCAAAGCTTAAGTAGTGTTGGAGGACAGAGGAGGATGAAGGTAGTTCATTTTCCTCCTCTTTTGAGGGCAGCCCATGGACTCCCCACAAATGTATTCAGGCTTTGCCTTAAAAGAGTTATTTTGGGAAGGGGTTGTTAGCCAAGAAATCAGGAAGTAAATTAATGTTCAATCAATGTAAATGATTAGGGGACGAATGCTCAAGCTTGTTTAACTGTGTAGACATATCCATGGGTCTAAATATAAGTCCATGTATCTTTACTTTGAAAAGGAGAGCTCTGAAGTTTTGAAAGTGTCTGAGATATCTAGTAAACACTTTGTTCCCCTCTCTACCTTTTAACACCTTTCTTAGACAACCAGTGCCGGACATTTTACATATTCAGTGTATCAAATGTGACAGTATTATTAAAATTACCCATACATTCCTATCCAGAGGTCCATAAATAATTTCAGTTATTGATTTTAATGGTGCACCTGCTCCAAGTTATTGCAATGCCATTAATGTCTCATTAATGTGCTTAGATTTCCAAAGCTGATACCAGCTGAATATTTCCTGTAACATTACAAAATAATCAGGAAGACAGGAAAAAATGTGTGTACGTTTCTTTCCATTTTAATGAATGCAGTGCTTGTTAAATACATTGTATTAGCAGAACTAGAAAGGACTTCATCAAATGTGTAGCTGTAGGTGCATCATCTTTCATTATTTTATTAATTTTAATAGTAGTAAGGCAATCTGCTTAAAAGGAATGACATTGGATAGCATTCTGGAAGAACGGTCCTTCGGTTAAAATTGCTTGATTAGAGACATTTGGAAGAGCACAGAGGCTTAGTAATTAAAAAAAAAAAAAAAAAGAGGAAGACTTTTCTGAGATGTATATCTTGAAGGACTTGAAAGACAAAAATTTTGTAGCAGTTGAAGACAATAACACTATAGGAAATGCTAGAAAAAACTAACCTAAGGGAACACTGAGAACTAGATTACCTTTTGCAGTGTGCCATGGCAAATCCCTGTATCGTTGTTCCCCAGTCATCCACATTGAAGGGACTTCCTGTAATGAATTATGTTTACCACCTTCCCTGCATCTTTTGTAGATACGTAATTATACACTTTCAACTGAGAACAGGAAAACACATCCAGGTCTAATTGTGCAACATAACTCTCAGGTAAAGAGTGCAATAAGTACTATGAGGTACTAGGAAAAAAATACTTCCCCTCCCCCCTGCCCCTGCTTCCAAAAAAGTAGGTGAAGTTAAAATTACACTAGGACATGGAGGTAAAAACAAGATCATGAATCTGTCACATGTTTGGAAGCCAGTGAGAACCTGGAGATTTGAAAGACAAGAGAAGGGAACAGAGGAATTTGGGAATTGACTTGACAGAACCATTTTAATTGGGAAGACTTACAAACAAAATTTTTGAAGTATAGAGGAATAGCTGTCTTCTATCATAGATAGTTCAGCATTAAATCAAATTACTCATTTTTGTAGTGGGGCCAGTTAATTATTATGACAAAGAATGTCAATCTACCCAAGAAAAACAATTTCTTTATTGCAGGAATGAATGATCAAAACTTTTTGACCTATGTTGTATAGGAACTTAGGTTAGACTAACAAAATGGTTTGACATGTAAGGCTATCAAACCATTTCCAGAAAAT